CTCTGTAAACAGGATTATAGCACCTTCAGTACAAGTAGCCTTCCTAATATTCGGAGCCTTTGTTTTCTTTGGACCAAGGGAAAAGGCAAGACGTTTGTCTCAGTCATGTTTTCTCAGTCTTTCAGGCTTTGAGGACTTAGTTTCTCATTTTCTTTACTCCTTGTTGCATGCTGACGGAATAACATGATATTGTAATATATCAAAGAAGTTAGTTGAGCGTTGGCCGGGGTGGTTAGGAGTGATGACCGTTAGCCTCGTATGACCATAAGTAGATAGACTAGGGATTAATTGTAATAGGTTTTTGGTTTAGGAAGTGTTTGGATAGAAACGAAACTATGATTTTAAAGGTGATTTTACGGTGTACAAAGTAAATATGTGAAGAAGTTTGTTTTGATTTGTAAAAAAAATATTTTTTAAAAGTATTTTCATGGTTTTCAAACACTTTTTTAATGGAAAAATGATTCCCTTTTCTCGAGATCTCTCTTCTCTTTGTCTCTCGCTCCTCTCTCTCTCCTCTCTTTCCCTTTATTTTTTATGCATCACGTAGCTTCTAGGTTCTAGAACAAAATCCCTGGAGATGGGTTTCTCTCTCTCACGCACACATTTTTTTTTTTTTGGGGGGCCAAAACGCATACGCACAGATGGGATTTAAAATGTGACGAGTGAAATTGTACCATTTAGAAACCCTTAATATACTCCTTCTATACATTGTAAGTGACTTCATTTACTTCATCAGAATTTTTTTTTGCCAATTATTCCATCAGAATTAATAATTGATAGTTAACTCATTGAATTCTCAAATTAATTTTTTTGGTCAATTTTACCTGTACTAAATGAGGTTATGAAAGAGAGAAAACAATACATGAATTTACATTTAAGCATTAATTATAGGGAGAAAAATACAGATTTACATTTAAGCTTTAATTATAGAGGTAAAATTGATAAATAAATGTGAATTACTTTCCAAACTAATTATATTGTGCACTAATTTTTTATTTATAAAAGTGACTTATATTGTGAATGAGTGGCAATAATACAGTTTTCAAATGTTGTGGCACCAAAAATGCCTAATCTTTTATTCCAAGTTTGTTTTCTATAATTTAATTAAAGTTTTCTAATTTAATTTTTACTATTTTGAAATTGATCTATAATAATTTTATTATTTGGAAGTCATGAATAATATACTTCATTTACTAAATTTCATATACTAATCGTTTAGTCCATGCTAATAACAATTTTTTGATATAAATAATTGTACATTATATTGGGATTTTTAATATATATGATAAGAAAAAAATTAATACAAATATTTTAAAATATCAAGACCCAACTCTACATTTATATACTATATGATGATCGTATTAAAATCTACATATATTATAAAATTTAAATATATATTTTCTTAAAAATTACATATTAATAGATTTGCAGGAGTTCATTCAAATGATTTGATGTTTGTTTATTTTTAAACAATATTTCGAATTTAAATATTAGGTGAGAAAATACCACTAAACACAAATATGGTATGCCTTGATTTTATTTGGAATTGAGGTCTAATAAAGCCATATAATATATTTCAATTCTCGATATAAAAGTGAGATAATTATGAATATTAAAAAAAATTAATTAATTTGATTATTTGTTACAAATATATGTTACTTTATCTAAACTATCATCCTCTTGTGCATGATATTAGATGATTGAAATTAGGAAAAATCCCATAAAAAAGTTTAAAATTACTAAATGTCAAATAAAAAAGTTTAACAAAAATTTGTTATTATTTACAAATTCAGTATTATCAAAACCAAATAAAGTGTTGTTATCAAATTTGATTTGAGATTTAATAATCTCAAGCTTTTTTTATGGGATTCTCTTTTAAAATTATTCTTTGGTAGACATTCTTTACAATCAATAAAAATATTTTGAAAAAAAAAAGAACAAAAAAAATATTGAAATGTTATATGTATAATAAACACAAAAGAAAATTCTTAACACCAGTATGTTACTGGACACTGATATGATATGACTTCACTTTATTCGGAATTGAGGCCTGATATGACTTTCTTTTTTTTTTAAATTTTTTTGAAGGAAAACTGAACACTATAAATTACCAAGAAACAAAGTAACAAACAGAGCAAGGCCAAAAGTCGGAAAACAAGTAAACAACAAAGGAAAGGAAAGAAAAGCTAAACTACCCTCTCTCATCAACCGCCGCCTCGTGCAAATAGGAAGGTGGGTGTATTTCCTTTTTTTTGAAGATACAAGAGAGACCCAAAAAAACAGACTCACAGAAGGCTACCCTACACTGGTATCCCAATCAAAAGGGAACCTCGACCCATCTGCCGAGAGAACGTGGTACCCAGGAGGCTGCTCAAGAGCTTTCTTGACGTATTCAGATCCCGATCTCTACAAAGCTTCAGCTTCTCTTGCCAACTTCGATTCATCATCTGATGAAATTCCATGATCTCCCCTCTGTTCAGATGCGCATCATTGCATCCTTCGCTGATGAGAGGGATCGCTTCCAAGCAATAATGTAATCACTCTAAAGGATAACTCTCCTTTTCCCACATCCCGCGCTCTCTTCATTCCCGTCATGCTGGTCCACAATTCAGCAGTGAGGACACTACCTTCATGAAGCCTTCGATTCCATTGTTGTGGTCGTCCCAGAAGATACCCCCACACCTCGTTTTGTTACTGCCTTCTGAAAAGGCCCCATCCACCATGAGCTCGATCGACCCATCCTTCTTCTGCCGCAGCTTCCTGATCTCGTTGCAATCTGGGGACGCCCCTCAGCCCTCAGGTTTGTCTGTCTCTACCTCATGCCGGCATTTTGGAGAGTTCGAAGCAACGCCTTTGCATGGTGCGAGAGGTTGTCCATTGTTAAAGTCTCTGATCATTCCTTCTTTTCCACACGAATCAACAAGTAACAGTAAAGAAGTCTGCCCAGGCCCCCTCACTGGTCCCTCTAGTCTTTACAGAGAAAACACCATGGTTCTCTAGTTTCCATCTCACACTCTCGCTTCCGTCTGAGCTTATAGTACGTTCCAACCCCTTCTCGAAGTTCGACCACATGGCTTTAATCCCACTCCAGAACCTCGAGCCTTTCTTAGTGTGGTTAATAACACTGGATGAAGATCTTCCCACATATATATTTGCTCCTTACAACCCGACCCCTGAAAGCATCTTTCCTGTAAGGATGATTTACCCATATATAACTGGTTAATAATATGACTTCCTAAAGCCACGTAATATACAGAAGAAAATTCTTCTTCTTCTTCATCCCTTTTCAAACTCCAATTATCACTGCCATTAGGTTATCTGTTTCAGTAAGGATGATAAGTTTTCTAACCACGAATGAACTGTATTTACTCGATAAGTGATATCTTCTTCTTTCTGGCAAAAAAAATAAAAGAAAAGAAAGAAAGATGACATCTTCTTTTTACTCGGCTAACACGTGATTTTATTTTTAGAAATCGAATAAGTTCTTAGAGGACGGAAGATAGTATTAAGAACCGGATATATAAAAGAACAATCCATATTTCTATATCTTCGAACTTGTTTAGAATGATTTATAAAAAACATTGTAATGATAATTTATAGACTACGAAATGACTATACAATGAAAGTTTTGTTTTGACTTTAAGCACTTAATAGGCAGATCCAAAGTGTGTATTTGTCTATATATCTACTTATATTTATTAAAACCATTAAAAGCGTGACTTGCTGTTAAGCTGGCAGCTAGTTGTTGTCTTGTTGATACACACCCACATATACGGCCAATTGATAATTAATAATTGTTTGATTGATCATCTTCATCGTACCTCATCGGAGACTGGAGAAGCTGGGCTTCTTAATACCTGCGGCGATTTTCCAAATTCCGCGAAGATCAAAGGTTCTCTTGTCGGGAAATTGAATATAAATTGGGATGAGAAGAAGGACTCTTTGCGGAGGAAACGCTTTTACTTCGACAAAGCCCGTGCCTTTTACTGGGAGCGAGGTTCCTTACCTCGTAAGCCAGGTTCATCTTCTCATGTTTCTAGGGATTTAATGTTCCAACTTTCGCTTTAAAAAGTACCTTTTCCAATTCAATTTCTGTTCTGTTTGGCTGCTGAGAGAAAAATTCTTGAGTGGTGAAGCTGTTTAAATCTTAGTATATTTGGGTGGGAGTCTAAACTGTGAGCTTCCTGGAGTTGGGCAATGTGATTTCATTCTGTTTTGATGCTGCCAATCACTTATCTTGATGCTTTACCTTTTGGCTTACTTATTTGTCTTCCCGGGAATCCAGTGATATGATATATGGGTCTCCCTGGCCCCTATTTTTTATGGTTCTAATTTTAGTTCCTTAATGATTTATGAATTACTTAATTTTAAATGATTCATTTTATAAAATTTTTAAACTTGAAACAGAATGAAGACAATGTAGCTGTGCATAAAGCGTCAATTGAGACTAATCATGATATGGCAAATGTCAGAGAGGGTGTTTCAAAAGGAAATTTAAATAATGACATGGATGAGGGTTCCAACAGAAGTTCTCATGACTATTTAGATGATGACGATATGCGTTGGAATTTTTTGGGCAGAGAAAGCTGTTTCAGTTGTAATGAAGTTGGAGAAGTGTTAGTTTGCGCTGAGAGAGATTGCCCTATTAGTCTCCATGCGAAATGTTTATGCACTGAACCTAAATTTGATGATAAGGGGAACTTCTACTGTCCCTATTGCTGGTACAAACGAGCATGGGCAGAGGCTCAGGAATCCAGGAAAAAGGCCTTTTTAGCAAAGAAAGATTTGTCTAAATTCTTTACTCAAAATGGACTCACGAGTGACAAACTGGCAGAGAATGATGTGGAAGTTAAGACAAGGGGGCCCAAAGATGTCTCTGTTATGGGAAATGGGAGTGGTTTGGATTATCATGGTAGGCCAGGCAATAAGAGTGTTCCCAGTCATCCTTTGAAGACTTTGCAAGATCTTAAAAAACAAGGGGAAAGATTGATGGCTGGTACTGATCAAGATGGGATAGTAGTTGAACATACAGCCAATGCAAATGGTCCGGAAGCTAATATTTATGTTTCTAAACGTTATACAGAAGAAAACGCACCTGTACATACAAATCTGGATCATAAATCTAGTAACAGGGAGGAATTTGATATTCTCAATAATAACATTTCCAAAACACGTGAGACCAGATTTGTTGAAGGACAAGAGGGAGTAAAACTTGAAGATATAAGATATAATAATGAATATGTTTATGCAATGTTTGATGAGGATGTAAAACCTTTGACTGCTTTCCGTTTTGGTGAACCCTCAGATGGACACTTGCCTGATTATGCATTCTCCAAAGGGATGCAAGAAGGTAATGAAGCATATGTAGATATGGGCAGGGTGAAAGATAGAGAAAAGTTAGTCCAGAATAAATTAAATCTTCCTGCAACCGATTGTTCTGCTAGGGGAACTGGTGATTCAGATTTTGAGCCTCTGCCCATGAAGGAGAGTCATGTAAAACAAGGGGGGCAAAGGACAACATATACTCAGGGAGTTTCTTCTGTTAAATCATTGCCGTTGAAGAGTAGAACTGGGAGTAAAAATGCTCGTTGCAAAAATGAAGTTGTTGCCAATTCTGAAACTTCAGGGCTACCTCAGAGGTCTTCTATGCAGTGGTAAGCAGCTCATTTTGGTATATATGTATATAAACATATGTTATAACAGATTTATCTGTTATTCTCAGTTGCAGCCAGAAGCTGGCTTCAGAAACTGGAAAGCGCAAGAGATTAAAATGGACAGTTGAAGAAGAAAATATGCTGAGGGTATGTGTTTCATGAACTATATTTCTTGAACCAGATGAATCATGGATGCTACATGAACTAATTCAGCAGATTTCGGGCTATCCGTGGCAATGTCAAATGGGTTCTGATATAATTTCTAAGCTTTAACCATGAATAATCACTAATGATGTTTTAAGTTTAATGTATAAAACATTCATTCAAGTTCAAATAGAGTGAATTGCATTGTTCTTGAATTTCATAGTTGCACAAGGCTTTCTTGCCTTCGTTCACAGCATCAACTTTGGTTCTCACACTGCAGGAAGGAGTGTTAAAGTTCTCGATGGAACAGCAGAGTATCCCTTGGAAGAAAATTTTAGAATTTGGTTGTCATGTATTCCATAGCAAGCGTAACACTTCCGATCTGAAAGATAAATGGAAACATATGAGGGTATGAACGCCAAGGAATGCAACTTGCTGTCTGTAGATTTCATAGAATTTTTTTTTTCCTAGATCAACTAAATAGGCGAGTGTTTCTTTGTTAATTTCTGGGTGACCCTCATGTTTTGTCACTCTTGAAACTATACATATGTATATATTCCCCCCCCCTCCCGGAACTAGTGGCTTTAAGATCCAAAGAACAAAAAACGGACCGAACTAGCCAATGGTCCAGTTTGGTTTGGATATTGAACCCGAGGAAGTTGAATCAGTGGTGAACTGGTTTGGATGATTATGTTGTTATTTGTCTTATTTTTTCTCATTCAGCTTCTAATATTTCAATCTCTATAGATTTAAATGCATTTTAATGATGATTTTGGTAATGATTATTAATTTTAGTTAATAATGAACCATAAAGATCAAAATTCTCAATATTATTATACTTTGTTATTGTTACAATCAAACTATTGTTATATTTCCTTACATTTTGTTATTAGTGATTATTAATATTATTATATTTTGTTATTTTTAATTACATTATATTATTTTAATGTGATTGGTTGGATCCCAAGTTGATCCCAGTCCGATCAACTGGCGGTTGAACCACTACCTTAAACGGTTTAGTGTTCGGTTCGGTTTTTTTGTTCCTTATTAAGATTATAGCCATCTATATTTGCAAGAGTCATTCCATGATATATTTATTTTTTAAATGCTCAAGAAACTTGTGTTCACTGGGTGACAAGGTTCCTTCTTTTGAGTGTATAATCATAACAAAGATTAAAAGACATGGATGTCACAGGTGTCAAATATGGCATTTAGTTGTTAGACGCCCTAGATCACTTGTTTGTGAGAATGGTTATCCAAAATTATTTTCACAAAAATATGACCTCAAATCTGTTTTAACTCTTCTTGTCAATCGTATGCATGAATAAGGATAAAATAAAATGAAGGTAAGTAAGAAAAATAACCTCCAATTTTTTTTGGCATATATATTGACAATGTCTATTGATATCATTGCCGGAGTAGATCTCATGTGAAATTTTTCAATTTGATATGAGTGGCAATGGCTTTTAATCAACTAGTGGAGGTTGTTACTGAAATATGGTAATCCTCCGATCCTTAATATATAACCTAATTATTGAATTGATTTTGATCCTAAATATAAGACATATTTCTCATATTTATCAGTTTTCTTTAAATTACTCTTATGGAAAAACATGTCATATTTTTTATAATTAACTAATTTATCTAATTTTTTTAATTTAATCAAATTAGTTAAATAGATATTATATTAAGGACCAAAGGAGTATCTTTTTTTTTTTGTTCAAAATGGATGGCATTGTAAAATGAGTCTTACCATAATTTTTATCGTTATATTAATGATACCGATATCATTAAAAAAAATTTAAACGAACATATCCGAAAAATATAAAATATAAATTTAAAAGTAGTATGATTTAATGTTATGACTTGTTTTCAATTTAATTCATGTATTTTGTTGGTATTCATATTTTTTATGTTTCATTCTACACATCTATTTCATAGCATCTTGCATAATTTATTTTAAATATACTACCTCCAGTTCTAATTATAAAAGCTAGTTGACTAACTTGAGAAAATTAAAGAAATAAGTTAAGTTAGTTATTTGTAATAAGTAGATGTTGTCTTTTCTAAAATATCCTTGCTAATCAAATTTATTAGCTAGAACTATCATTATTAGAGGAACTATCTTGGAAAAGAATGTATAAATATGAGAGATAAAGTACATTGAGATCTTATAATTAGAATCAAAATAAAAGTTAAATAAAATCTTATATTAAAGACCAGAGGTAGTATTTCAATAGATTTTAAATAAGAAGATAAATATAATTTCTTAAAAATGTTTAAAAATTATTGTCTTCAACGACCGTGACTCAATGGCTGAGTTTAAATTTCTTCGACAAAATATTTCGGATTCAGCGCGTAAACAAGGCCGAAGCTTCTTCCTGCTGAACGTGAGAAGGATCGTGCTTTGATCCTCATAATCCAGCGACAGCAACGCCGATTTTTATAGGGGCATAGTTAGGATTTTGCCTGTGACGTTTTCTCAAGCAGCAGCTTCAGGTCTTTTCTATCTCGGCTTGAAGCTCTTATGCTTGTTGATGGAGGACCGATCTTGATATGCCAGTGACTCCTAATTTAACTTATTCTGCCTGCCGCTTATTTTTTTAGCTTTAGCAGAAATTGTCGCAATCCTAAAATGTCTGCCTTCTTCTGGTTGGGTACTGATTTCAGTACTACTATTAATTATTAATTATTTGAGAATTTTCTATGGCAGAGTTGATCTGGTTTGTTTAGAATTGAAGTTTATTTCTAAGTTCATGCAACAAACAATAATACTGCGAACTAACTAATATGTCGATACATCTCGGCGCTGAAGCATTGGCATTAATTTTTATATTTACATTATGTTATAAGTTTTGATTATATTTGACTTTAGTATGCCCTAGATTTGTGATATAGGTGCACGCTTATAGTCCCCCATTTGGTATGATACTGGTACCCGATGGATAACATCTGAAAATCCTACATTCATATTTTTGCTTGTTTCATTTGAGTGCTCCTGCGGCTTTAAATGTCATACTAGCATCAACGATGCGTCCTGAGCTAATCTACTGACTAGAGTTGGTTAGGTTAAAATCGTGGGAATAATTCAATGTGACCGAAAATGCCAGCATACCATCAATTGTTCAGTTCGCATTGCTAGCAAACTGACAAGCCAAGTGCAATGCATTTATCGACTAAGATTGGGTGGATGTATAAGCAAACTGAGTTAAACTTGAAAAATCTCTTAGGAGACTCTTTAGCGAACTGATAAGTTTGATTTTTATTGTTTTATTGATAATGCTTACTAGGGTATAACTTCTTCTACATTATCCTCCAGAGACAAATCGGGAAGGCTGAAGTTACTTGGGTGTTGTCATTGTTAGGCCTCGTTTCTGCTTTCTATCACAGTTTACAATATTTTCTTCACCTTATTTTTTAGTTAGGTAATTGCATTATAATAGGCTGATTTCCTACAGCCTGTTTGGTATGGCATGGGAAGAGGATTCTGTTTCCAATACACAGAAGAAGATATATGTAATGGCTATCTTACTCTTATTGACATTTCTCAACCATGAATACCCCTTTTCATTACTATATTTTAGCCAGGGGTGTTCATCTTCATTCCTTTTTTTCCCTTCTATACCAAACATTTTGCTACCATACAGGCTCTCAATGTAAATAGATATGCATACATAGATATGTATGTATATATGTGTTTGTGCATGCATACAGACACATATATGTAATTTTGTACAAGCTAGATTAATCATAAGTTATAAATAGTATGACTTCTCTCTGTAGTTCACCTGATGTGTATTGCAGCTTGTATTGGGCTCCATGTATCTATTCGTTCTATCTATATTTTTTTCATTTTCATATCTTTTCCTTCTTTTTTTTAACTTTTTGTCTTCTTATTAAGCTATTATGTTAAATTGATGACATGGATTTTTGTTTTGTCAGATTTGATTTATATCCCGTGAAGGATAAGAAAGATGGAGCCGGAGGTAGTGGAGGCAGAGCTAGTTTTACCATCCTATCTCAGTTTTAAGCGGGTACAAACATATGAGAAATATCCCAAAGGCCAAGCCCGTGGCCGGCACTGGAAACATCTTAAGCAGATTCTTCAAGCTGAGAACTACCAGAATTACTCACCTGATGAACCCAACTGTGAGCTCTTAGAGCCAATGTCCTTTTTCTTTTTTGGAGAGGAAACCTTTTTTTTTCTTTTTTCAATTTCTGTTATACCCAATGTTGTGTATTCTGCTCCATGTACTCTCAATCTTTTTATGTTTTTGTTCTTTTATATAAGTTTTATTTTTATTTTATTATTTAGAATTGGAACTGCATAAGAGGTTTTTGGAACGATAACAATTCTATTGTTAGTCAATCTAATGTTAAAATGCTTGTTAAATACGTATTATTTGATCAAGAGTTATTAAGAAAGGCAAGATCTGGTTCTTCAGTTAATTTTCCTTGTATGTGCCAGAGTTTCATACAAATTTTTAAAGCCTGAGCCTGAGACTGTTTCCTAATTTTAATTTTTCGTTCTATTATCCTTTTGAGTGACGATATTGAAGCTTCTATTTTGATCTCTTTGCGGGATTTTCTTGCAGATGTGAATATTGAGTCACCACCTTCTATACATCCCTGCAAAAGAATTTGCGATATTACAGGCTTTGAGGTATGTAGAGGTTTTTGTTAGTTTCGGTGTTGTAATTTTCTCGATGACTCTTATTGGTGACCCATGTCTTAGTTTGGAAATTCATCATAAAATTCTGGTTTAAAGAATACAGAGTATGCTTTGTACTCGTGAGGAAGTTGAATCACAAAATTTCGATTTAAAAGGCCGTCATTCTCATCTTTTAGTTGAGGAATTTGTGAATCTATCAAGATTTTATCTTGTGTCATTTTTTTGCTTGTGAACTTAACTTTGAATCTCAGTGACATTTTCTTGTAGCTAAAAATTTCAGTGACTTTCACTGCCACTAGTAGGAGCTGGAAATGAGTGGAAAGTGTGATATCGATGGAGGCATTTTTTTGTTGCCTCTTAGTATTCCCATTGTTCTCTTCATGCATTATACTGCACGCAAACTTAGTGTGACGGATTCTATGACCTTTTTATCAATTTGGCTAAATCTCTTATATTATAAGTGATTTATGGTTCTTTAACTTCATTGCTTTGGATTATGGTTATTAGGCTTGTCTGTGATCTCATTAAAACGTGCTTACATGTTCCTCGTTATTATGATGCCCAACTTACAGACAGTTATCCTTGTCACTTTTTATTCACGTCTGTAAGGACATGTTTATTATGCTGCACGGCGCTGTTTGTTCATTTATTTTATATCCCACATATTCAAGCTTATACAGCATCATTAGACCTTGTATTGCTGAAGAATTAATTAGTTGAGTTCACTCTGCAGGCACCCTACTATGATCCCAGGACTAAACTACGGTATGCAAATACTGAAGTTTTCAAGACTGTCAGGTCGCTTCCTAATGAGTATGTGCAGAGGTACTTAGCCTTGAGGAATGCTGCGGTTGTTCTGAAGTAACCAGGCAACTTTTGAGTACTTCTCTTCAAAATTTCATGTTTTTCGATCCTTAAAAAGGTTTTGAAATAGGCTAGTTGATGGAACATTGTTCTGAGGGATAACATTGCAGAGAACTACTTATTCATCAATCCGCTTGTAAGAAATGAAATATTTGCATATTATTTAATAGCTATTGAACCTGTATGAAAGCATTTGATTGCTGCTCTTTGGAGACTTCAACAAAAATTAAATCACAAAAATTACATGTTGCAGACTTCCAGTGTTAATTCTCAGTTGGCCCCTAAATTTCATGTATGTTATAATGTTAAATTGAGCTTTTGATAATAGTTACAGCGAATTTTTTATTTGGTCCCTCTACTTCATTCCCCTCTGACTTGGTCCCTGTAGTTACAGATGTTAGGAAAAGATCCTCGCCTATCTTTGTCTGTGAAAATGATGTCAATTTTGTGCAAGCATGGCATAAAGGAAGTCCTCTACATTGCTACTCAGACCATGTGGCCTTCCAAGCCAACCAACACACTGCCACCTAGTTACACGTTGCAAGAGAAAGTACAATGACTCCTTCTTATAACCTCTGAAAAACCATAGTGTCTCGCGGAGAAATATTTTTAAAATGAAGATGTGTGTCTATTGAGAAGTTCTTATAAATCAAAAAAACATAGAAGTCACTAAAACCATACCTTTATAAATTTATAATACTAAAGACGTCTTTAAAAGGTTATAAGGTGTGACAACCACTATTTCATGAAAGAAGCGTTAATTAAAAGAAACACTAGGTATTGAAAGGATGACATTGTTCTTGAAAAAGTTAGTTTTGATTATCTTTGATTATAAAGTTATTTAAAAGGATTATGATGTTAATACATCTCTTTCACCAAAAAGGACAACATAGAATATCGGGCTACTTTCAAACAAATTTAACAAGCTAACAGACTTTTCTTAATATATGTAAGATGATAAGAGGCACATCATATTTAGGATGGGATGAAGTTTCTCACTTTCCTCCTATTTAATTAAGGGTATAAGATGTAAAAGTAAATGGTTCCTTGATTTTGGGAAAGTATCGTCATTTTGGGACACTAAAAATTTTAAGGATGTGTCCTACATTTGGAACAAGGGAGTAGCTATTTCAGGATATTCTAAAATTAGAATTGAGTTTATTCGATTGAAGTAAGGAATATTCTTTTCCAAAATTAAAGTGGTCTTCATTATCCTCTTGCTATTTATTGTGCTGCCATTAAAAGACTGCTTGGATTTCTTTGTTGGTGCGTTTGGATTTGTTATCATGCGAAATCACGATTGATCATCTTTGGTGAAAACCATTATTGCACTGATATTTTCTTTTATAAACTATAATCACCACATCTCCCGAAACTTAATTATGATTTTATCATTATACAGAGTAGTATTTACTTGTTTACGAATTTCAGTGTCGTGGCTTTGGGAAAGGCTTGACTTGGACTTCCAATTTTGTTTGTACTAGTCTTGGTCAAGGCGGAAAATGTAGTGCGTTTATTGTTGCTAATCAAAACAATAGAAAAATACTTACGCCAAGTTTCTCTTTATTATAAGTTTTAAATAATTAATATTTCAAATGTAGGATATAAATATGCAAGTATAATTAGATAACTTGACATTATACTTTCTTAGTCTTAAATGTAATATTTATTTTGTAGTGTAAAATAAGTCTTATACTATCTCTGATCCTTAATATAAGATATTGTTTAATTTTTATTTTGATCCTAAATATAAGACCCCAATTCACTTTGTCTCCCATATTTATGTTTTTTTTTTAAGACAGTCCTTCTAATAATAATAACTCTAACCAATACACATAATTAGTAAGGATATTTTAAGAAAAACAACACATATTTATTACAAATAACTAACTTAACTTTTTTTTTCAATCTCTTTAAATTAGTCAACTAGCTCTTATAATTAGGACCGGAGATAGTGTTTAATATTAGAGGAATAGATATAAGAAACTTGTTAAAAGTATTATTCGATAATTTTTACCCCCTTAACTCACTGCTCATGGCGCTTTGTTTGTGGCTTAGAAGACTTCTCTCGCAATAGTCTCCTCGACTGCTTCTTCTGCCTTGCTAGTTCTTAAGATTCTTCTGAGATTCAAACACAGCAGCGTTAGATGCATGCAGTCACAAGCGTCGAAGCCCAACGCATCCCACAGCATTCAAATCCGTGCTCCTTCTGCATCCTCGCTGGCCATTAATCCATGCTTATTTTCTTCTTCCTGTCTTATCTTTGACTTGCCATTCTTATATTCAATTTCAATCTTTCTTCGTTCTCCCTTGATTTGTTGTTCATGTGCTGAATAAGTTACACCGAAATCCATCGTCCTGTAATTGCTCTCTTTGGTTTTTTTTTTTTTTTTGAATGAATGGGGTGCTATAATTCCAAATTCTTAAAAATAAATTAATGCAGTCCTGATCTACGGTTGTGCTCAGCTCGAGTCAGACGACCAGGCGACGGGTACTTTTCATAGCCCGTTCCTACTTTCAGAACAGACCACAAAGCTAGGTAAGCCCTATCGACGCTGATATCGAGATGACAGTATTACAGTGGCATTGTTGCCTTCCCACCATTACAGAAATTCTCATTGTCCCCACTAACTCTCATCATCACAACCATCTTTCAAAGGACAAAACGATTTACACGTTTGAGTTCCAATTCCATCGGTTGTGGCATGGAACCATGGTCCATCGATTTTGGTAGGAGTGAGTTCTATAGAGAATCGTATTCTTGGCTACTAAGAGTGTGTTTGAATTAACAGTGAAAAAAGTTTTTTTTTTTTTCACTCTGACTTTTACAAAGGTCAGATTAGATAAAAATCAGATAGCATAATGTGATTTATGTTTGAATTGACTTTTATAAAAATGTCAGTTTGAAAAGCTGAAATTTGTTTAGATAATTAATAAAAAATAAGTTTAGATGTAAAATGAGTAAAAAAGATATGAACATTATTAAATAATAATGTGATAATTTTAAGAAAAATATTAAAATTATAACGGTAAAGGTGCATTTTTAGTCCTAATCTTATTTTTCAAGTGCACTCAACATTTTTATATTTTTAGTGGTATAATTTTACCCATGATCATTTTTTGTGTGTATAATTTTACCTATGAATTTTTGTTTAATGCAATTTTGCCTGTGATTTTTTTTTTCTAGCATTTGGTAACCTATTCTCATGGTCTTATTTTAAAAGTTATCTATTCTCATGGTCTTATTTTCTCTCTGCACAGTGAGTGATGTGAAATGGTAAAAGCAATAAATTTTAGCTTTTGAGATACTGTGACTTTTGCATCATAAACTCATTTTGATGTATCGTGAATCCAAACATTAATTTAAGCCTTATCGTGCTTTTTTTCTCCTTCAACGTGTGATACCACCTCCAGAACGCTTTACCAAACACACCCTAAATACACCAAGTACATGGTTTTAGTTCTATTTCCACTTCCCTTACCAAATGGGGCATTAGAGTGCAGATTGGACATATCTTATTCCGAATTTGCCTTCATTTTGAAAAGAAGGCTTTTATACTTTTACGAGACATGACTTTTCTTGTAAATTTATTTTGTAAAATCACTTAAAATGAAATAAACCAAACAAGCAACAATTTTGTTTTCATGCACAATTTTTTTCATGATTTTGTATTCCAACTGAAAGGATCTAAATAACAGAGTTTACCGGTCGCCTTCTAAGGAGATGCATTAGGATTATTTTCTTTTATAAGTGGATAATGTACTTAATTTAAACCAACAAGAAAAAAAGGGGGCTATTCCTATTCCCAAAACAATCTCAACATGGGTGAACAAACTACCGAAGTCCACGCCTAGACTTTATCCTCCCTTTTTTTCACCAGCAAGCCACAGCTCGCCTTCCCAATTTTTAAGGGTCTTCCTTCGAAAAGTGTAGCTACCCAACTCATCTTCTTTCTTTGTTTTTGGTTCAAAAAGCTGAATTCAAACTCACGGCAATTTCGAATTTTTTAATGAAATTATTGCCAGTTTGAGAATGAGAAATTATTAAAGCCGTTAGTTTTTGACAACTCTATAAAATAAAAAAAATTATAATAGTTTATTCTATTCACAAGTTATAAACTAACCTTTTAAATCCTAAATTTCAGGTAAACATGTGATAGTTAAATTGCTTTTATAATCATACATTTTATAGATTATGTTACATTGCTACATTTATTTAGTTATAAATTTGATTTGATACTGATTTTTTATAATATAATTAAAAATGAAAAAAATGTTAATTTGATAGTGAAATTGAAAATTCAATTCTAGAATTTAGAGTTAATAATTGAGAGAAGAAAAGCATGTGCATAGGAATAAGACTTTTTTGGCGTTCCGATGTCTCCTTCGTTATGATTTAAAGATTATGATTTGAAGGCAAAGTCACATTCTCAACGGTGCAGCTCTGTCCACATTTTGTGCTCCCATACCCAATCATTTACTTAATATATTTATTTAAGGGATATTGCTTTTACTATTATTTTGGTGTTTCTTTACATCTAAGTTTATTTTTTTAATAAAACCTTTAATAAAAGCATTAGCATTGGTTTGTAACCAAATAGTTGGAAAGAGATTTGGAATTAAACCGATGCTTCGAGTTTAAGAAATTTCTGCACATTCTTTTAGAGCATAATCTAATCTAATATTAATGCCCTTTATTTGATCTTTAGAAGAAAAAAATCAAATACTAAATCTTTTATATATAGATATATGTGCGTACTTTTTGGCCAAAATATATATATTTGATATGCTTGATTTTAATAAAATGAATACAAGTGGATTTTAAAAGTCACGATACTATTAACTGAAATTAGTTGATGGCTAGATTATAGGATTAACAAAATATACACTTGTCATGATATGATTGAAACAAGTAGTTTAAATTTATAAAATTAAGTATATAGATTTTCTCTTATCCTATATATGGATGAGAAGAAAATTAAGGAGGACAGAATATTAAGAGAAAAAAAAACTCTTTAATATTAATATTTTCTTTCTTATTTTTTTATTTTCTCTCCATCCAAATATAACTTTAATTTTTAATGTTGACGTAATTAATTAAGTTAAATTGATAGTGTAGTTATGGCATAAAACTTCTTTCGTTTTTCATACCTTTTTTTTTTTATAAACTTATTTTTTTAACACCTTTAAATGTAATTATAGATTGCCAATCAATAAATTATTTGTGAAATTTAAATACCTGTATAAATTATGGATTATGCTCTTCAAGTAG